GGATAAAAGACTCAAACACTTACTAAACCCTTGAGGTGCATTTGGAATAGTTCACACAGTTGTTAGGCTACCTAGTGCTCTTGCAGACAACATTGGTCTTCCAACGAGAAGACGAAGAAGAAGAAAAAGAAGGCGAAGGAATGCAGACGATAAAGTTTTCCTGCCTGCTGGATGATCCCTGCAGGAAGAAGGATGTGTTACTGTGGGTTTTACTGCAGGGAACCACTGGTCCTATCTCTATTGTTCCCAAACGGTTTGGATCGTCAAATCGGCATGCATCCTCTCCCTCAACACATAACATTCACACGCATAACTGCCAGTTAATGACACAGCTACAGATTCAGTTGCCACTAAGTCTGCTATCAGTAAATCCACTATGTTTTTCTTTTTCTGCACGCCCAACACAAGTGGAAGACGGGTTCTTTAACCCCTTAGCAGTCCTATTAGTCCCCTAAACCATCCAATGTCCCGTGGGCGGTACGTCCGACTGCTAACAGTTTAAATTATTTGACATGTCTAACATTGCCTATGTCCAGAAGGCAAGCCCATTAGCTATTTTTTTATTCACTGAGACCATAATGGTAGCGCCAAAATGAATAATCTTGGGTGATGTTGATAAGAAACAACTTTGAGAATTTTTAAGTATTTTTAAGATTGGTGAGACAAAGACTTTTTGTTCACAGTGACAAGAGGTATCTTTACAGGAGTAAAGGTGAGGCTTTCAAACTTAAGAACAGATGTGTGCTATACAATCATTCTACCCTGGAAAAAGGAACATTACAAGAAATTAATAAACTGTAAAATTACCATTCACAATTTCCATTGACATTCGTGCCAATGATGATTGCATGAAAACTTCTGTACATTGCACCTCCTAGATGAACTACAGCCTTGTATACAACAAGTATAGCTGTATGTACACTTGTTGTATACATACAGCTTGCACCTGCTGCTAACTAATATCAGTTACTTCATCTTTCATCACTCCTGTATTGTTACTATTTGAGCACTGCATATTCAATAACTGCAGTTGTAATTTGTAATTCCTATCTACGTGATCCCTTAAAAACTTTCAGAAGGAGTCCAGTCCCCCATGTTCTCACCCATCCCCCCCATATTAGTAACAAACCCCTGAGCAGGCTAAATCCCGCAGCGTGCATAATACAGCTCCAATCTGCAGCTTCAAATGGCTGCAACACTCAAACCAATACTGAGTAATAAACATACGTCACGTTCACATCTTCTAAACAGAGTCAACTCTATTAAATAAATAAATAGTCTGAGCAAAGCAGGTTTGCTCTCCAAGGCTGTGACCTGAAGACGACACAGTCGCATCTCATACTGCTGTGACTTTGTAAACAAGGGCGGTACGAGTTACTGTACATCTCTCACTATTATATGCTGTATCTGTTTCCTACCATCACCAAACAAACAAACCTCCTTATAGGTCATTATCCTGCAGCAGACAGGAAATGAAAACATACTGATACAGCGCTCTGTGGCTGTAAACAAGCCGCTGTTGCCATGCAACAGTGCTTCTATAAATCATGAATTAGCTCATCACATTTTGTTTATTATCAAAACTCAACTCAGCTTAAGAGACGAGGAGTCGCTCTCTTTAAATATTCTATTTTCACGAATGATCCGGAGTCCAAGCCTGAGTTATTTATAAAAACAAAAAATATTCAGGATTTTCCTGTCTTGTCCTCGGATTTGTATTTGATAAATATTTCTGTCTTGGCTCAGAAGACAGCAACACTTTGGAAAGCAGGAAGATTTCTATCAACAGACTGTCCTGGCCAGATGACCTACAAACAGAAAACACTAACAAGTCTGCAGTGGGTTGACCTGTTGTTGAGCTTAGCTGCTGTTCTTCTTGATATCTGAATGACACGCAGTGCAGTGGGGTCATCAGGTCAAAAGTGCACGAAGAAAAAATTTCTCTGACCTCTTGCACGTATGCTGCAAGGAAACAAGAAAGTGCAGTATTAGTATTTACACTGCTCGGGTGCTGCGGCATGGCTATTTCCTGATCCTTTGCGACCTTTTATTTAATATAATTGTTCTCGAAGTACTATACGTCATTTATTTATTATGGCTGTGAAAGTGAAACACAACTGAAACAGTGCTAAATGTGAGGAGGACAAAGAGAAAATAAGGAAATCTATGTATTCAGTACTCATAGCTTTTGTGCCATCCTGCTGTTAACTGTTAACTGCTGCTCTTTTTAAAAGCAAAAAAACAAAAAACAAAAATATAACAATAACTTAAAGTAGAGCTATCCAAAACTCAAGTGAAACATCCCAAATAAAAGAGTATGATCGTTTTACTCTGTATCATCTGCAAGAGAAAAGCTACAGATGAAAACTTTTTTCCCCACCCACAGTCTGGCAGGGCAACTGGGCACCAGCTGCCACAAGTCTATGCAAGGTAATCACTTCTTAAAAGATGAGCTCAACGCTGGTTCAGCCAAACAAATGTAAAGCTGTAAAGCTCAGTAGTCTCTGTGGAAATATTTATGCATAAACTTCCACCCTGTTGGTAACAACTTGGTGTCAATCACCCCAGCGTCTCTGCTTAAAAGACCAGAATGACACCCAAATGGTCTCGCTCTCCAGGAGCAACTCAAGTGTTAGCTTTAATGAGTTTCTCATAATTAAAAGTGGATATCAGGCTGTAATTGAATTGCTAATATCACCTGTGCTGATCAGTATCTCCTCGAGGGTTATTTTGTCATTGGGGCTGTGAGACTGCTCTCGGGTGTTTGTATCAGACGGGCAACATCATAACTTTTCCACACGAGTCTGACTCAGAGTTCGTCAGAACACAAATAAAACCTTTGCGGAGACAGTTGCCTTGGTAAAGTGGGGGAGGGCGGGGGTGCTGGTGTGCATGTGGTCTGACAACTTAACACACACATCAAACAACTGTCAGACCCCCACCAGCTCTCACACACACCTAAACAGAGAGAACGCACACCTCATGCTCCTCTAGCGCTATAAGTATCACTGAAAGAGGTCCATAAACACGAAAAACACACGAGGCTGCGATAAAAGATCAGAGAGGCGTTCTGCAGCCCTGCAGACACACTTCCACTGTAGCGTGTGTTTATGTCTTTGTGACGGATGACAGCTGAGCGAAGGGCTGGGATTAAGAGTGAAATGCCTTAAAGTGCTTGAAGAAAAGGCAAAACACAAGGAGCATCTTTGTGCATTCATGGCATGTGGTTTACAGCACTAGGCCACACATGAGAGTGGACTACAACAACAAACAGTATGACACACACAGGTGGCCAATTAAAGAGGAAAAACAAGAGCTGAACATTGTGGAAACAGGCTCTGATCTGATTAAGTGAAGCAGTCGATGGTCTGCAAGGAGTTACCAGCTCAGTTTCCAATATTCAAGAATAAAAATAGAAGGAAAAAATACTTCATTTGTGGTCTCAAGAAATGCATCACACAAGATCCACAGATTCTGTCTTGATTTGTTTTAAAGGAGACTTTTTGTTAATTTTCTTCTTCCCAAAACTCCTCTACAAAACATAACAAGGGTTTTATTTTTGGGAAAAGTGAGTGGGTGGCAGGCTGATTATCAAGGTCTGGTGTTTTATTCAACTATATGTTCACATTTCTGTCAACACACAGCTAAAAACAGACTTCAGTCCCACCAGAGTACGAGAAGGAAGCTTGCTTTGATTCACTTTGCTTTGCTGTTTTCCTGTTCTGCCCAATGAACTCAGACCAAAAAAAGAAAAAGAGCTGGATGGACAATCAAGGCTCACAATGTGGAGGCAACACAAATGCAGTCACATCAATGTGATTACCGAGTACCGCAGGCTAACAACACATCACAATAATTGGCAACAACAAGCAGCTCTGTGACAGTAAATGATGTTGGTGAAAGGACAGGAGATGGGAATATATCCTCATCTTCATAATCAGAGGAAGAGGGGGATGACTAAGGAGGGGACAGGAGAAACATGGTGGAGTGGTGGAGGAAGGGATCAGTGGAGGAAGATTGTTGAGTGATACAGTAGTTGTGTCTAAAGGTCTGTGCCCTGGCGCCACTGCTGCCACTGTGCTGAGAGACGGAGCCGGCTGAAGACTGAGATGTTCCACCTGGACCAACAAAACAGCAAAGAAGAGATGAAGGCTTTAATTTGCTTTTAGAGCCCCCCCCCCCTTTGTTTCCCTTTCAGTGGTTAGAAATGTGTGATTTTGCACTTTAAGACAGCAGCAAGCTTCTGTGTCAGCTTGTTACATCTCTCTGTTCGTGCAAAGCGCTTTGCAAGTTTGTTTTCTTGCATAAATCTACAACATATCAAAGGCACTCACATATGCAGCAATTTTCTGGCTGCATTTCTACCTAAACCCAAAGACAGAGCAGCAGCTGAAGTAACCATGAAATCACAGAGAATACTGTGAATATATATAAAGACTTTCACATGACAGCTTTTTTTATCGTTCTTAATGTAAAGTTGGCAAAAAGTTTCATTTAAAAATGTCATTTGACTGCTTCCCCATATAAACGTGTCCCACTTTGTCCCACACAAACAGTTTGTCCCACATTGGGATGTGGTCACCCTATAAAAATATATATCCAAGTTTCTAAAATTTAGGATTGGAAGACGTTCAGACATGAAACTGTAGGTAAACCCAGGTGTTACTAATGGTGTTGATTAAAGCTCTGCACCTAACAGGACTTTGATTAATGTCATTAGCAGCACCTGTAACACCCACGGTGGCTACTGTGTCTTTTGTGTCACACTGGTTGTAAGTTTTGCTGCTTACAGAGGCACTTTTTAGCATTTATTTTTAAAATACATGATTATTATTACTATTGTGTTTATGTTTTTCATATATAAATATAGATCTCCAACAAAATAAAAATTCATCTCAAACAAATTGCAGAATCTATCTTTAGTTTGTCTTCAAAGCTAATATTTGTAATGGAAAATCTTTGCCTGTTTTTAACGGTTTTTGTGTCCTTTAATTCAACAGACCAAAACCAATTTGTGGCTCCACATGTCTGAACATGTACTGGCAAGATAAAAACAAAACAAAACAAAAAAATTCAGGTAAAAAAACCTTCAGTTTCTTATTCGGGTTTCGGGTAATCAGGATCGTCCACTACCAGAACGACTCTATTGATATGAAAATTGGCCACTTTAAGGAACTTGCTGTGCCCAGGCGTAACTCTGAGCTGCTGTCCAAACATGTCTGTTTCTTTAATGAACTTTCATCAATAATCTGTATCTGTTATATTTGTAAGTTAGATTTTAGTATTTTTTTTTTTTTTTAGTTTTTACAAACTAAATATGGGAAATCAAATGTTTTTTTTAGAAAAAAAAGACGCACAAAAAACACAAACAGGTAATGTTACAAGTTTTTTTGTTTGTCTTTGTTTTTCGTTGCTCATAGTTACTTCATTTTTAATTCCTGTATAGAATTTTCTAAGACATTTTTTGCACTTTTAAACTACAGGGGGAGTCAAATTTGTAGTTTTCTGGTGGTTTTGTTTGCAGCTTCTCTGAGAGTCTGTACAGTTTACGTTTGCCTCCAGAATTCTGTTCATGTTGCAAATATTTTGTGCATAAAAGTCAGAAATTACTTGTAAATATAATAAAACTTTGACAGGCTTTAATGAAGTTACTTCACAGTGCATTATCTAGTGTGGCAGTCAGTGGAAAGAAGGGGGTGTATGCAGAGGAGGAAGGAGGAGGGCAGTGGGAGGGTGCGAGTTGGGTGGGGGTATATAAATGGAAGCAGAATTCACATACAGCAACAGACTTGAGAGTGCTGTCAGCTGCTGTGAACCAAGTCTTTTTTTTTTTTCACCCCATTCTCAATTTTTTTTTAACATAAGGATAAGAAAAGAGGAAAGGGTGAATATGGAGACAACTGTGGGCTACGAGTACTACGAGGACTACGAGGAGCCAGACAACTCCTCAATGTGTGACTACTCAGAGTGGACGCCATCATACTCTGTCATCCCAGTACTCTACATGCTCATTTTCATCCTCGGCCTCTCTGGAAATGGAGTGGTCATCTTCACTGTGTGGAGAGCACAAGGCAAACGGCGAGCTGCCGACGTCTACATCGGAAATCTGGCCCTGGCCGACCTCACCTTTGTAGTCTCGCTACCTCTCTGGGCTGTTTACACAGCCATGGGTTACCACTGGCCCTTCGGAGTGGCTCTGTGCAAGATAAGCAGCTACGTGGTGCTGCTCAACATGTACGCCAGCGTCTTCTGCCTCACCTGCATGAGCTTTGATCGCTACCTAGCCATCGTCCACTCCTTATCCAGCAACCAGCTGCGCAGCCGGGCTCAGATGCAAGGCTCCCTGATAGCCATCTGGCTGTTGTCTGTTATACTGGCCGCTCCGACTCTCGTCTTCCGCACCACCAAGTACGATGCAGAAACCAACCGCACATCCTGTGCCATGGACTTCAGTTTGGTGACACAGAAACAGGAGAACCTGTGGATTGCCGGCCTCAGCATCTCCTCCTCCGCTCTGGGCTTTCTTCTACCTTTCATGGCAATGATGGTGTGCTACGGCTTCATCGGCTGCACGATCAACCGCCACTTCAACACCCTGCGCAAAGAAGACCAGCGCAAGAGACGCCTGCTGAAGATCATCACCACACTGGTAGTGGTGTTTGCTGCCTGCTGGATGCCCTTCCACATCCTGAAGAGCGCTGACGCACTCTCCTACCTGGACTTGTTTCCCGCCACTTGTGATTTCCTGCGTTTCCTCCTGCTGGCTCATCCCTACGCCACCTGCCTCGCTTATGTCAACAGCTGCCTCAACCCCTTCCTTTACGCCTTCTTTGACCTGCGCTTCAGATCCCAGTGCTTGTGCCTACTTAACCTGAAGAAGTTCTTGCATGCGAGCCCGGCCAGCTCCCTGTCCTTGCAGAAGACAGAGATTCAGTCTCTACCCACAAAGGTGTGACTATGGATTAACACCCAGAGGCACGCTGGGGTCAAAATGAACACTGCAGAACAATGTAGGTGAATCAAAAGTTTCCAGTACTGAGTGCTTGTTTATGGTTCAGCAGCAGCCAGTTTCGGGGTGTAACCTTTGCTTTTCACTCTGGACTATTGACTGAAGACTTATGGTTTTGGTGTCTGACAGCACCAAAACCCCAGACTTTTTTTTTTCCAGCAGGCACTGAAACTGAGCTACATAAGGAAACATAAGAGAGACTCATTTAAAAATAAGGGGAATGTACTTTTATTAAGACTGATATACTCATCAGTTCGTCTTCTCCTGTGGACTTTCTGCAAAAGTACTGAGCTATGAAGTCTGAAATCATGTCCTCAAGTCATGGGAAACTATTAGGTTGATTATGATCATGTAATTTCCCCCTCCCATTACTGTTTTTTTTATTAATAAACTCTTGAGGTGGAGGTGTGACATATTAGAAACTGTGCTCTTGAGATCTGTCTTGACTGATCAGTATCTGCACCACAGCCAGCAGGACGTCTGTGTGTGTGTGAGAAGGGTGTGAGTTAGTCAGTAAGAGGTGTTTGAGTCTGATAAGAGTAGAGTGAGAGGTGTGTGTGTGTGTGTGTGTGTGTGTGTGTGTGTGTGTGTGTGTGTGTGTGTGTGTGTGTGTGTGTGTGTGTGTGTGTGTGTGTGGCATGTGGGTTGGGGGGGTGGACAGACCAGACAGACAGATGGCAGCTGACAAATGTTTTCTAGCTGCGGAAAGCCCCAATTAAAAGGTGACTGTATCGACAGCCTCTGATGTTTCTGCCTTTGAATATGAATGAATTTGTTCCCTGGTAACAACATGAAACCCATTTTTCTGAATATACACTATTTTTTTGAATTCATGTCTATGATTTGTAATTAAAAGCCGGTGTTTTGAAGAGAAAAAAACCCCAGTCTCTCTCGATCTCTCTCACTTTGTTATACCCTGCTGTGATATCTTGTGGAATGTATTTTCTCCAATCCAGTGAATACGCGTCTTCCTGTTTGGTGAGTTGCTCAGAGGAGGCAGCCTTCCCTCCTATTGTGTTTCGGGGGGCCGAAATCAAAGCGTACAGTATGTCTGGAGGAAATGCACGTTGGACTTCTGTTTCCCTCTTCAGGCGTGTTTGTTTCTTCTCTTACAATTCTCCCCAAATTAATCAGTGAGCACAAACGGGATCAACCACACAGAATTCGGCTTTGTCCCAGACAGAGACGTAAGTGTTAATTACCAAAACTTCACTTGTAATCCGCGCTGCTGTGTATCCCAAATGCATCTGAATTATTTTGGTAGATATCAATATTAATGTGATAGCACACTGAGCTTTAATTCAGATAACCAATTCGGACTCTAATGAGCTTTTTACAGGATAAAATCAGTGACAGCGGGGAGACTTGGGGATTGGATTAATCCTGGGTTACTAATTTGCAGTGGACTTGCCGTCTCTTTGTAAAACCTTAGATGAAGCAGAGCTTTGTCTAAATCAGTTAAGACTGAACACCACATTTAAAGGTGACACTGTTGGAAATTATAGTAAAAACTGGGAGCAGGATTTCCTTTAGCCTTGAGCTCTTACTTCAAAATATACCTACTATACTCTTCTATATAGCACAGAAACCCATACAGTACAGCACAGTACAACCTTTGTAGTGATATTTCTCTCATATATAACTGCATGAACCCCAAACTCAGTTTCTTGCCTTTTTAAAAATCTTTACTATGGTAATATATCAGCTTTGTTGCAGCAAAACCTTTGGAGAGGAACTGAGACAGATCTTAATTGCTATATTAGTTGCAGATGCATTCACACCAGTCATTATCTAAACATTAAATAATAAAATACAGCTACAAAACCACTAAATTAATGATTTTAGCTTAAACATTTACATTCCCATGAGTTTTGGCACTCATCACAAGTAAAATACCATATTACACTGTAAAAATTCTCAGGTCACAAACATGTGACTGGTTTTTTTGGCTAAATGTGACCAAATTGAATTTCTTGTAGGAGGAAAACTTCAGCTTTGACTTCAGTTTGGGAAAGTCGAAAAAGTCTTTGCTATTGAAAAAGAAGGAACTTAAACAGCTGCAGCCACACTCGCTCTGCCTTCTCAGTCACAGTCTCAGTTCTCTTTAATCTCTTCTGAGCCACGACACACACAGACACACACACACAGACACACACACACAGACACACACACACAGACATGCAAGAAAAATCTTTATCCGAATTTAGTCTAGAGGACATAAACATCTTGAACTTTTTGTCAATTTTCAGTTTTCACATTTTCAAACTGGGACAAACATTCAGGTGCAAATTAAATAAGGACAAACTATGTACTCGAGCCAGTGCAGCTAAATGTTTCTAAGTGAAACGGCGTACAATTTCAAAATCCCATGCAATGGCTATTTCTTTCTTTTTTTTTTTAACAAGATGGCCAGTCACATTATCCTCCACAGCATCAAAGTGAAACATAACATCTCCTCAGATTATTTTCATGGGTTTCCAGGATTTATGAAGCTCACATGTTCATGTTACAGATTTGCTAAACTACACCAGAGAAAAGAGAATTACTCCCTTTGATTGGGTGACTGACATGACTATTCAGGACTTACACCAATGTTTTCATTCTCCTGTAATTACAATGAGTGTGAGTTAAGCATGTCTAGACTGGAAGCAGGCTTGCCGCAGGGAATCCCGAGAGCAGAAACAGCCTTTAGTTCCTACTCAAATGAATCATATACAACTAGGACAGTATGTTCTAGGATAAACACAAACATGGAGTTATTTGGGGTTTTTTAAAGAGAAAACCTGACAATTAGCACGGCTTTCTGTTGGTAACTTCTGCAGCTGAAAGGTGCAGTCAAGCCTGCGCAAAGATGGACAGTAGCTGTCCTATCTGGGAAAAAAACAATCAAAGCTGTGGTGTATAAAATAAATTACCACTAATTATGTATGTCCATAACCATACATGCCTATGTGCTACCAAGAAGATGAAAACCAGCCAACGAGTCATTCAGCGGTTTTAATGAGAAGAATTTCTTTGCCCTTAAGTCCTGAAAGCAGTCTGAATTTAGTTTAGTTTCACTTCATTAAAGACACACACAGGTCCATAGCAGAAAAAATAAATACATACAAAATGCATAAAAAAGAAAAGAAAATGTAAAACAAATCCACAAAATTACACAGAGGCTGTAACGCCGGTGATTCCATAACTTTGAATAAACTGAACTTAGTGCCGGGTCAGTCAGAGATGTAATTATACTGTTTCTGGAGTCCTTTACCCTAAACATACAACTGTGCATCAGATTGCAAAGTATAGCACAACAGATAGGCACTCCAACACTAACAAACATTTGGCTTGCACTGCTCCACCATGGCAACTTGTGCATCAACCTCCTTCCATTATTATATGCCACAGTGAGTTTCCGCATGCTGCTTTCTCTGTAGCTGTTGCACAAATGAGCAGTGTGTACATTGGAGTGCAAAAGGCTTTGAAGAGTCCAACAATCACTGGAACAGTGCACATACCAAACTTACAGCTCAACATATTAGCTTGTGCATACATTAAGCAGCATTGTCTAAAAATGACTATATCATCAGACAAATCATCAGACATGTAATGACCTAAATATTTAATTGGAGTACACACTTTAAGAGAGAATTCAGGAATGGCTAAATTCTGGTCCTCCTTACTTTTGTCAATAAAAATATTCCTCTTCTTGCCATTATAATGAATATCAAACTCTAGACCACATTCAGAGCATGCCCTCAATAATTGTTGAAGGCCAGCACTATACGGTATTACCAACTACACAACCTGTTACACAGTCATCTAACAGCTTTCACAAATCACCCATATAAACATTAAACAAAAGAGTAGGCAGAATACTCCCCTGTCTAAGCCCGTTCCTCACATAAAAGGGGGCAGACACACAGTAACCCCATTTTATGTGCATGGACTGATGGGCATACCAGAAGGACAGAATTCTTACCAAAGATTTAGGAACCCCTCTGTTGTATAACTTATAAAATTGCTTTCCATGACTTTATTACGCACACCCCGCTTTGCAGTTATTTATTTGTAAAAAATGTTTGGAATCATGTATGATTTTCGTTCCACTTCTCACGTGTGCACCACTTTGTGTTGGTCTTTCACGTGGAATTCCAATAAAATTGATTCACGTTTGTGGCTGTAATGTGACAAAATGTGGACAAGGTCAAGGGGGCCGAGTACTTTTGCAAGCCACGGTATGTGTAGCTATTATCAGGCAAAAAGACTTTCCTACAGAGAATCAAGCCAGTATCCAAGCAGCACTGCAGTAAATGATTTGCAAATTAAGATCTACCATCAGACATCTGCATTCAATGGATACACAAGTGGAGTCAATGTCCTGAATGAAAGACATTCAGGACATATGACAGTCTATTAAGACACCTAACCTCATTCTGGGGACACTCATAGGGCACATATACATTAAGAATAGTAAACTTTCTATCTCGGCCAATAATCTCAATTCCTATAGCCCAGTCAAATTTCAGCCTGACAACATTCACCAGCTGATCATACATCTTGTGCCAGAGTATGGCAACACCACTAGAGATACCCCCACGAACCACCCTGGAGCTCAGATCAGAGGTAGATTCACCAACGCCATGAAAGTCTTTGTGCAAACAGTTCGTTTTTTCCAGATCTTGCTTAGATAGAAACGTTTCCTGGGCACACAATCTATTACAGGACGCTAAGAGTTTATCCATTAAAAGAGACAATATTAATACTCATTTATCTCACCGTGTCATGTGCACCCCCACTGAAAGCTGCCGCCCTGTGCTGCTTCAGAATCAGTGTTTGACTCAGTGCGCTGCCGCTGCACCCCAATCCTCCCTGTGGCAGTGACTCCGCTGCCTCTGCTCTTCTTAGGCCTACGAGCCTCAAAATAGCGGCGGACATAAATACATATCCTTTACGTCATGACATTCAGCAGTAACATGAAATTATGCTAATCATTTGTGGGTTGTGTCAATTTTCCGACATGTCACGGACTTACCCAGCTTCTCAGCCAGATAGGAGCGCAGAGTTTCAGCGTCGAGATCGGGGAAAAGCCATATTGCAAACACACAGTTTGGTTTTAACCACAACGATCTTGTCATAACTGGGGTCATGCAGTGACAATCATGTTGTTGCACGTTTTTTTAACGGATATTACGGTACGAAATATTAGCAATTCATACATTTAGAATTCTTTCACTACACATTGAAAATAAAAATAAAAATTACAAATTCTGTAAGAGTTGACAATATATTTCTAAAGCATTGTCTTCTTACTATACTGTACATTTCTATTCAACCTGACCTTATCCCCAACTAAAAAAAATTGCAGTACTGTATTTTTGATATTGTGTATTTTTAAAATGTTATTACAGGAAACTGTTTGAGGCGACACAAATATTTCACTGGATTCTTACTCTAGATCACCCTCACTCTTCCTCTTCCGGCTCACAGCTCTCTGAACTGTAAGGTTTCACAGAAAATCATACATAGAGAGATAGACAGATACTGTACTGATCCTGTCACATAATGAAGTTATTATACACTTTTACAGAGAGAACCATAGAAAGGTTTCCC